CCCCCTTAGGTTCCTATGATCATCAATTCCACAAATACATACTGAACACTTAGCATGTGCCGGCTGTTTTCCTCGGCACTGATGAGGTGGGGGTGGAAAGAACGGTGGGGGTCCTTTTCCTCAAAAAAATGCAGCATGTCTGGTTGGGGTGACAGACGACTAAACAAATCATCCGTGTAGCGTGTGAAACCCTGGGTAGGGTAAGGGCTTAGCTCATAGGAGAGGTGTCTCAGCGGGCCTGAGGCACTGGGGGCAGGTTAGGAAGGGCCAGTCTTGCTTGCTGCGGCATGAAGGATGGATTGAAATAGAAACCAGAGGGAGGGAGAATAGTTCCAAGATGGCGAGAGGGTGAAGGACCAAAAGGCGGCAGAGTTTTTTACAAGGGAAAACTATGCGGCAATGAAAATGAATAGCTTCAGTAATTATAGATTAGTCTCACACCTGTACCGTGGGGTGAAATCCTGCATGCCAGTGGATTCCATGTATATAGGGTCCAAACACCAGGCAAAAGTAAACTATAACGTTTAAGGATGTGACATAGATAGGAAAATTATAAAGAAAAGCAAGAAAGTAATTACCATAAAAACCAGGTTATCTTTGGGAAGGATATCTTTGAGGGTAGTGATTAGGAAAGGGTACAAGAGGGGCTTTTGGGTGCTGGAAGTATCTTATTTTTTGACCTGGATGGTGGTCCCATTGGTGTTTGTGATGATAGATAAAGCTATACATTTTAGTTCCCTAGACCTTTCTGTACGGGTATAATTATAAGGGGGAGAGGTAAAAAGGAGAGATAAAAGAATGGAAGCCCTGCAGGAGGTGCATGATAGTAAGAAAGAGGCATTCCTCTGGTGGCTTACTGGGCTTCTCTCCACTCTAGAAGGCTCATTTTTTCCCACTTAGCGTCTGTGAAATCAGGGTGCACCCTGCCATCGATGGCATCTCAGATGTGATGAAATGTGATTGTTTCGGGGCCCCTCACCATGCCGACTGCCTCCGTGGGGTTGGCATCTGACCCTCCTAGAGCAGGGCCAGGCCCTCAGAGTTGGGGCTGCCACAGGGTGCGTGCCCACATTTGGTCAGGAGCCAGAAGGGAAGACGGCTGTCATTGACGCCAGTGCGGTGCTTGGTCTTGGGGGGAAAGTGGGGAAGGAAATCTGGCTCCAAACCCTGCTTCACCAGCAGCACAAGGCCATGGAGGCCAGCAGGCCCCCACTTCCCCTGTGCTCTGTCCCTCGGTGACCGGCCAGCCTCATGCTCATCTGCCTGCCCCGGGAGGAGGAAGGACAGTCTCGGGGTGGGCTCGGGGTGAAGGGAGTGGCCAGGGACCCATGAACCGGCCCTGGCCGCACTTCTTCCAGACCCAGCACCGCAGGTGGAACTCAGCCTTCAACTGAAAGATGCCTTCAGCTTCAATTTAGGGCAGGGGAGACCTGAGTTAGGAGGCTGCAAAGCGAGGTGTCAGAAAGAGGCAGGAAAGAGTTCAGGTCAGATTTTGGAGGAACTTCCTGATGGCAGCTGGGCCACCACGAAACACCCACTCTGTGTAAACGCTGCAGTTCCCTTCTCTGGAGACTGCACAGCAGGTTCTGTGACATCTGGGAGGCTTCACTGCATCGTCCAGAGTGAGTCCGTGAAGCACACACGCTTTACCTGCATTATCTCATTAAATCAGCCCCCGAGTCCCAGAGGTACGCGCGATTCTGTTATTTCCATTTTAAGCCAAGGAAACGAAGGATGGGAGATGGAGAACAACAAATCGCCAAGCTCACAGAGCTAGTAAGTGGGGGGTGCAGGACTTGACCTCTCCAGAGGCCGTGGTCTTGACCACCAGGCAGCTCTGCCTCATCGCATGAAGCTCCACGCCCACCCTGAGAAGGATCTGTCATGTTCTGGTCCATTGTGTATCTCTTTTTCTGGAAGGATTATCTGCTTCCAGAAAGCTGCTGCCTGCTTCCCTCCCAACTCCAGCAGAGTTCTTCCAAACAGTGGCCAGAGCGGCTACCGTGGCTTAAGGGCTTACCATGATCTCACTTGATTCCTCTTCCCGTCCTTGGCCCGGAGCCTTTCCAATTGTGCTAAAAGTAGCCCTGAGCAAATCGAGGTCTGTCCAGGGGCCAGGACTATTTTGACTCTGTCCTCAGGAATCATCTGGTCTGAGGCGTGTACAAGCTGGACTGCTCCTATGAGCACTCAGATGTGGTGCCAGGAATGTTCTGGCTGACACACCTGTCCCCAGAGCCGGGCCAAAGCTGCCACTCACCCCATGGCCCCCACCACGTGCCTCCTGAGATGCTGGTTCCAGGCGGGGTGGGTGGTGTCATTTGCACGGTGGGAGGATAAAAGGTTTATACTGCTTTATGTCCTCGTACGAGGACAACCAGCCGGATTCCGTGACACTGCCTCCCACCCTCTCCATTCAATGGGAGCATGTTAACCTCTGGATTTACGATATCCACTCAGAACGGAGGCCTGCGCCCGGAGCCTCCTTAGAGACAGCACACACTATCCCTCCGTGGGAGGCTGAAGGATGTCCTTCCCCGGAGGTCTTTAAGAGGAGAAGAGACTTGCATCTAGCTGGCTTCAATGTAAGTCTTGGTGCAAGGCTCGTGCCCGGAAGGCCCATCCCCGCCTTTGCTGGGATGGCCTGGCCGTTCTTCAAAGTCCAGCTGAAGTGCCACCTCTCTCAGGAAGTCCTCCCTGAAAGCAGCTCCCCAGTCTCGTCGGGAAACCTACTACCATACAGTGGGCTAAAGGCCATTATTCAAACACAGCCATGACGAACTCTGCCCCGGGAAGATGGGAAATGCCTCACAGAGGATCTGCTCTGTGGCAGGTCTTTCCAGAAGCTCAGAAACACACACAGTGGAAAAGTGGGGGAAAGAGCGTTGCAGCGGAGGGAACGGCAGGTGCAATGACAAGAAGGCACGGGAGGGGCTGGTGCAGTCCGGGCAGGCCAGAGAGCTGCCTTGTTTTTGCTGGGTTCGCAGACCAAGTGGCCGTGGACAGGGAGGCTGCGTGGCTCCTTCTCATGGCTAGGGGAATTGGACCTCCACGCAGCAGGAAAACAGGGCGTGGGCCCCACCCCTTCCCCGGAAGGTGTCAGAAGCGTGGAGCCCTCACTCCTCTGCCCCCTGGGGCCTGCGATCTCACCTCCCAGCCTTCCTCTGTTCCTTCCCAGCCAGGAGGAAGTTGTCTCCCAGTTGACCTGGGTGGTGGTCCCATTGGTGTTTTCCTGCTTGTTAGAATCTTAATATTGGATGAATCCCAAGGCCCAGCTGCCCTGGCATGGCGGCCAGGGTCAGAGGTGTGAATTAAAACAACACGTGACCCTGACTGCCTTGGTCAGGGGATGCTGGGGTCAGCTGCAGAGGTTGCTAGCCTTTGTCGCTGATAATGAGAGCACTTCCGAGGCTGTTGCCCTCAGGCTTGTTCCTTAGACAGCCTTAAGCCCCTCGCCCACATCATTCCATAATAATAGCATGAAGAGCCACCTCCTCTCGAGCACTTTAAGGAGTACAATTTCATTTAATCACTAGACGACTTTATGATGTAGGGCTAAGGGACATGCCTGAGACCTCACAACATGTCGTGACAGAGCCAGAATCTGAGGCCCCGTCTCTGGGACTTCAGAAAGCCCAAGCAGCTCCGTGTAATGCCACCTCAGGCATGAGGAATGGCCCTGGCTGCAGGAGGCTGGACAGCTTGGCCCTCTGCCCTAAGAGCCTCCAGATCTCCCCTCGCTTCAGGGCAAGGCTCCCACCCATTCCGACACTCGTCACATCTTTACTGCACGCCTACTGGGGGTAAGGTGTGGGTGCAGGGACACAAAGATGCAGAAACCCAGTTACTATGCGGCTCACCCCCCAGGGGGACCCACAAGGACCCCTATTCCACCACCACCCAAAACCTTCCCATTCTTAATGTGACCTGCGCAGCCTTCCCAGTGCTCTGGCCAACACATTTCTCCTTCTAACCTTCTATAGGGCCCATTACCCAAACCACCCAACCTTTGCTTTTTTTCTGCTTTCTTTCACTCGGGAGTCATTTGCATGTCATTTGCATGTGAAAGGCACTGGGGATACATTAATAAGACGAATTAATAAGACATGGTCTCTGCCCTCATGAAGCACAGTCTAAGAGTGGGAGACAAGCATGTCATCAGTGCAGGGACTGAAGTGCCCTGGGACACCACTTCCTCACTCACCACCACAAAGACACAGACTCAGTCTTACAAAGGGGCAGCATGAAGTAAGGGAAGGAGGCTGGACCAAGATGAAAAGAACCGAGTTCCAAGCTGGTGCCACCCCCTGAGGGTACACTGGAGAAGTTACTCAGTTTCTTCAGCTGTAAAGTGGGAATAACAATACTTAACCTGCCTACCTGATAAAATGTTAGCGATGTGCTTTGTTAAATGAGATTAAGTGCATGACAAGCTTTCACAGGTTACCGAGTATTCTAAGGCTAGTACTTATCATTATATTTATCTTCTGTCTCCTGCGATGCCTGCATAAATCTGGGCACAGAGTAGATAATCGGTAAATTTCAGTCAATTTAAATTGAATTGGTTCGGATACCCACATTTACCACCCTCTGATAGTCCTGTGGGCTTTTGAGGCCATTGTCAATCTAATACTAATAATGCTTCACCTGCCTTGCTGGGGGTTGGCTGTGAGGACCAAGTCAGGATGTGAAAGTGCCTTGGAAGCTATCAATATAGAGCCATACTGACTCTTGGGAAAGCAATTTGGTCTCCCATCTTGTCGGGGGGTGCTGCACTGAGGGCCTGATGGTCCTGACTGTGGAGCCACAGACATGGGGCAGCCTCCCCCAAGCCCTAGTCCCATTGCTTTTGGGAAACAAAAATTGTACTTTCCCCAATTTAGGCTCCCAAACCGCTGGGTTGCCTGGGCCAAGATAGCGCCTGTGACGTAGGCATGGTCTCTAGAGGGACCAGGCCACCACGTGCCCACCCCGCATTAGCCCTTCACCTCTCATTTCAGCACCCCTACCCCACGGAGGATGAGAAGAGGCAGATCGCAGCCCAGACAAACCTCACCCTCCTGCAAGTAAATAACTGGTGAGTTATCACCCGCCCAAAGGCTCTCAGATCCAGGGGCCACTTGCTTGGCAAGGGAATGCATAGCAGGGAAAAGAGACAGCCTAGCTCAGCCCAGCTACCACAGCAGTCCTCCCCTTTGGGCTAGAAGCGGAAAGCTAGAATCAGCCCAACTGCCTAGAGCTTCATCTGCAGCTTCTCAGTGCCCTCTGCTGGGAGATTGTATCAGGAAAAGCACTGGAAGCTTCTTGCTGAATAGAAAGCCCAGCCCCGCCTGCACCGCAGACACACACAGGAGGAATGCAGGCGTCCAAGTTCTGGAGGAGCCGCCAGTGGTCATCTGGTCTACCCACCACCTCTGCGAACTGAAAAACTACAACATTCTGCAAAGCTCGGGTGGGAAGGAGGAGGGAGAGTTGGCTGTTCTGACTTCACAGGCATCTGTTTTCCCCTTCTGTGTGTCTGGCTGGGTTGTCACAGAAACCTCAGAGAGCAAGGTCTGGTTGGGTGGAGGTAGACCCAAGATTTGGGGCCCCTGATCTGAGCCCTGGGCCCTGGAGAAAAGTCAGGGTTTAGTGCTTCTAAGGGGACCCCTACTTCCTCTGTTCAATCCTGATGAGTCCTGAGTAGAGATTTCTGACCCCCCTCATGCATCCTTCCCATGCTGCTTTGTGGTTACCAAGCTCCAGGTGATTCCATGAGCCCTGCAGTGCCCAGGGCTCTTCTCCCACCTAGGCTTTCACACCCTAGCTGAGCCCCCAGTCTGTTCTGTACAGTGGATCAGCTGCTGAGAGTCTGGAAGAGGCTCTCACTCCCTGCACATGCGCGCGCACACACACATGCACATGCACACACACACACACAAACCCCACAACCCCGGGGGGGGGCGGTGACTAACCAGGTCTCTACCTTTACCCCTGGGCAGGTTCATCAATGCACGGAGGCGCATCCTGCAGCCCATGCTTGATGCCAGCAACCCAGACCCTGCCCCTAAAGCCAAGAAGATCAAGTCGCAGCACCGGCCCACCCAAAGATTCTGGCCCAACTCCATTGCTGCAGGGGTGCTGCAACAGCAGGGTGGCGCCCCGGGAACGAACCCGGACGGTAAGAACTGGGGGTGGGTGTACTCTAGCCTGGACAGGTTCTGCAAAGACGCAAGGGCTGATCATCCCCTTGCCTGCGTGGCAGCGGCAGCTTGGTTACAATAGTGATCTCCATCGAAGGATGTGCGCAGGCCTGAAAGAGGGGGATGTTTTTGCATATATTGTCACAAACCAAAAAGCAACCTCACAAAGACGAGTGGGAGTCCATGGTCATCTGAGTCAATGACTGCTCAGCAGAGCCCCCTCCTCACTCCCACACCCTCCCGAAGTTCTGTCACGCCCATGAGTGTCTGCACGGCTCACCAAGAGCCAGGGCCATCTATAAATACCGAAGCAGGCGGCTGGCTTGTGAACGGAGGCCAGGAAGAGCTTTGTTTTCCCAGCTTCTCCATCACACCCTCCATATACACTTTTCTAATTGCCGGTCGCCTGGTGCACAATGAATAATTCAATGAGCCAGACGTTTTATAGCTTGGCACGTGAAGATAGCTCTGTGTGGGAAGTGGAGTGGAGGTGTGCGCGTGCACGTGCATACCTTCGTGTGCATCTCTACGGTGGCGTTCGGGTTCCTCTGTGCTGGGCAGTCGCCATGTCAGGTGTAGCGGAAACACACGGATTTTGAGCCAGACGGACCAAGGGGAGAATCCCGACTCTGTCGTGCCTGACCGTCCCCTTGAGCTAATGCCTTAACTATCCGAGACTCAGTTTCCTCCTTAGAATGGGGATGATAAGACCTACTGTGCAGAATTGGTAGAAAGTCAACGTATTTAACATCCTTTCATAGAAGGTGCTCAGTGAGCGGTAACTGGGCGCAGCGCCGCTTGCGGGGGGGCGGGGGGGCTGACAAATGCGTGGGCGGGGGGCTCCGCACCTGCGAACTGCCAACCACTCCGTGGGCCGGTCCCGGCCACTCTGTCCGACCCCGCGCTTCCCGGGCCTGAGCCTTGTCTTCTCCACCCACGTAGGTTCCATCAGCTTGGACAACCTGCAGTCCCTGTCCTCAGACAACGCCACCATGGCCATGCAGCAGGCTATGATGGCCGCACACGACGACTCCCTGGACGGGACGGAAGACGACGAGGACGAGATGGAGGAGGAGGAGGAGGAGGAGCTGGAGGAGGAGGCCGACGAGCTGCAGACGACGAACGTCGGCGACCTAGGCTTGGAACACAGTGACTCCCTGGAATAGTTGGCAGCCCGGATGGCACTGGTCACCGAGCAGGAGAGGAGCGTCGTCGGGAGGGCTCCAGGGTGGGAGGGAGGGGGGCACCGCAGGCAGCGCCGACGAAGTTGGCCCTAGCTTCCCCCCAATCAGCAGCTTGAAGAAAGGCAGAGGAGACACCTGCTCCTCCCCAACCACCAAGCTCCAGTGAGCACCCCAGCCCCACTTCCCTGAACTGCAGAGGACTCCGTCCGCGGGGCCGCTCGAGCAGCCTACACGGAGCGGCAGGAGTGAGAGCCGGACTCACCAAATCCCTGAGGACAGATGGCACCCGCGCCCCCCCCCACGCCCCCCCCAACTGAAGGACTTGAGTTGTTTCCAAGCCCCGCACTGTGAGGCGGATCGGTGCCGTTCAGAGTGAGCCTTGCCAGGGACAGAGTTAGGAGGAAAGGGAGAGTCAAGGGGGTCCGGGTTCCACCCCCATGAGGTTCTCAGCTCCTTGACAGACATTCAAGGGCAGGAGGAGTCCAGACGCATCACCAGTGGCTAGCAGAGCGGGAGGCCCTGAGGCGCCACATCCCGCAGATCGGAATGGGACCTGGGCTCCCGAAGGCTCCGGCTCATTCCTCCAAGGACCTGTCTCAGGCATGGGCAACCGTGGACTTGGGAGAGAGGGCAGGAGCCACACAGACACCTTCTCTTTCTCTTTCTCTCTCTCTCTCTCTCTCTCCCCCTGAAATGAATGGTAAGCTGGCAGGCTCGGATTGTAGGGGGTTAAGAGGAATCCCTTCCCCTGGGTTGGCTCCAGGACCCAAGGAGATGGCAGAACCTGAGCTAGGAGCCATATCAAGATGACTTTGGGGACCACAGCCATCCCTAGGTGGTCACAGAACTCAGCTCCTGTAACAACAGGACAATGGTGTCTTATCCCAGATGTTCCAGCCCTCAGATGGAGCTCCTCAGATGTCCCAGCCCTCAGCCCCCCATGGCCGTCCCCCTGCTCCCAGGCTGGCCCCACCAGCCCCCATTTTGCTCTCTTCTTCATTCTATCCTTCGGAGAAGGCAGAAGAAACATTGGAAAAGAAGCATCCAGTCCAGTGGGAAGCCAGGGGTTGGAGAAGGTGCTACATCCCTCTTCCCATCAACATCTGAAGTGTGGGTGAGGGCCCAGAGAAATGGTGCCCCAGCGCCAAGTGGTGCCCCACCCCCACACACCTCGTTGATCTACCCACCACCATGACACGCAGCACTGGAGGAACTGGGGATCCCTCGAGGAGGAGGCTTTCCATCACCTGCCCTAACTCACACCCTCCCACCCCAACTTCCAGGCCCCCATGATTGGCACCCCCTCCTCCCCTCTTCTCCCACCCCTTGGCTGTGAATGACAGGACTGATAACACGTGTGTTTTCCATTGGATTTTAATTTAATGGACTTGCAGTTTCATTTGTAAATTGTGCATTGGCCATCTCCTTCAGTGGCAGGATGCGAGTGGCTACCTGGCTCAACCTGAGGGGACCCTCAGGGCCCTCTGGGGCTTCCCCTCCCCCACCTGGTTGGGGTGGAGCAAAAAGATGGTCGCTTTCCTGAGGTCTCCCTGAAATGAATGTATTTCTCCCCCAAAAGAGCTGATATTTAATGTTTTAATAGGGATTTTTGAGAAACAAATAACCTTATTTATAATCTGGGTGATCCAATCATTTTTTACTCCCTTTTGATGCCATAAGTAGAGGAAAGTCTAGCTTTTTTGGCGTGAGACTTTTGCAATGTGCAGTGGGATAAAATACATTTCCTTTTCTGGTTCGTCTTTCTTGTTCTCTCTCTCTCTCTCTCTCTCTCTCTCTCTCACACACACACACACACACACACACACACACCCTTTCACCTACCCCTTTGGACAGCGACACACCCAGCACAGGCACACCCGCACACATGCCCACACACCCTCCTCCCAGCCCCTCCACCTGCCTAATGTTATGCAACCTCCTTCTGATGTATCCACCAAACCAGTACTGAATGTGGCCGAGAAGTTTTCAGTAAATCTTATTACCTACCATAATTCTGGTGCGCAGTTCTTTTTCCATGGTTAGTGGTTAGTGGGACCTTGGACCAGAGAAAATTTGGAGGCCTCAGCCTACCTCTTGTTGAACTAAATACCCATGGCAGGGAACAAGGTAGAGGGCTTTCTGAGTGACCTCAGTTTACCTGTCTGGGCAAGAAGACAGCCACGTTTGGCACACTCACTGCATACATGTCCGGCTCAAAGACAAAGAGATTAGGGAGAGGAGACCGGAGGACGCTCTGCACTGCCCTCTCCTGGCAATTCTCCCCCATAGCAGTGGCGCGCTCAGAATGTGGTCCCCTCGTGCACCATACCCTACCTCCCTCAAAGGCCTTTGCTTTTCCCTGAGGCATCCTAGGCTCCAAGGGTTTTCATCCTTAAAGCTGGTGGCACCACTGCCCCTCCCCTAGTTCTCCCACGTCCACCCAGGGCCCAGGAATTGGAAAGGAGAGGAAGTCTTGATGCCACTTTTAAAATCCTAGAGCTGTGTCCAGAGAGGAGCCTGCCTTTTGAACCCCAGGGCTCAGCACTGTATCCCCCGGGGGCAAGTGGAAACTTAGGCACAGCTCCTGACCCCAAGTAAGCAAGCTTTCCTGTTACCTTCAGCCCAGAGTTTTCCTTATCTGGGCACTGTTGGTGAGATGTCCAGGGCACCGGTTTAGGAGCAAGAGGGGCCATCCCTTGTTCACATTCACAAAGGCTGGGGAGTCTGCACTTACCTGTGGACACCCTCCAGCCAGGCTGAAGGTGGGGAAGGGAGTGCTCACATGGGCAAAATGGGCCTGCACGCAGCCCTGATGACTGCTCCCTAGGTCACCGCTCTCAAAGAGCCCAAGCCTCCCGTCATACCAAGAGAGTCTGCAAACAGAGACCCCCACCGCTAGGCAGTAAGAAAGTCTCAAGACCCGCAAGAAGATCGTACCTTAGAGCCCCACCTCCCAGAGCTGGGAAACCAGCAGACTTTCAAAGAAGTGTTTTCCAAGGAAGACAAGGTTAAAAGACATGCCATCAAAAAAAAAAAAAAAAAAAAAATGGCCAGGCCAAATTAATCTAGGATGAACTGCATATTCTATTTTGCTGGTGGGGTTCCATAAGACACACTAGTGTAGTAAAGGCTCATGAGGAGTCCTGCAGGAAGAAATCTGTTTATCCTGTTCTCCAGATTTATTTGCCTTTTTTTTTTCAAGTAATATCTATTCGAGTTTTACTGGTATTCCACAAAACACAGTCTATGCAACACTCTTCTAAGAAATTACAGAGTAGCTGCCCCAGCCTCTCTCACCCCTTCCTCAGTTTTTCCATCAAGTTCTGGCAGCTTTTCAACCATGCCACCAATGAAAGGGGGGTTTCCCAAACCATTTGAGATGTGGAAGCCACCTCTCTCTCCGTGCATGACCAAGTCCTACCCAACCCACGGAGAAGATGTGCCACCGTCCCTGTGGAAGTACGAGAAAAGGGACAACGCAGGAGGGGACTGGGTGCTGGTGTCAGGACCCTGGAAACCAGGCCAGCAGACTTCTGGCCCCAAACCCTATCCCAGCAGGGCAGACCTATCAGGTTGGAAGCTTCCTGCTCCTGGGAGCTGATGGCCGGAGCAAGAGCTATACTGCCTTGACCAAGAGATCCCTCTGCTACCTTGAACATGGCCAGATGAGGGCAATGGTTCTGTCACACTCACTCATTCACCCGATGTGTATTTACTGAGCACCGACTCTGTCTCAGGCAGTTCCCGATACAGAGGATACAACTGTGATCAACAAAGACAAATTTCTTGCCTTCAGGGAGTTTACACATCCTAGGAAAACACTGAGACTGAATGTGTGTTGGTAACATTCTCCTAATGGTTAAAATATGACCTCATCCTGGTCCAGTGAGCTCAAACGTGATCGTTCAGAGTTGCAAACAAGACTCTCAGGTCCGATGTGGCGTTCGGATCAAATACAGCTCCCAGATATGTTTTGTTTGGACCCAATATTGTTTCTAAAACTTTTTGTGCCAACATTTAAAAGGTAGAGAACTGCAACTCAGGACCTATATTCCTACACAGCCACAGCAGGGTGTAATCGAATCATTGCTACCCCTTATGATGTGCTATCCAGGCTGTCACGACATTGGCCATCCATGTGGTCTCCCCAACATTGACAATGAGTGCCACTTGCCACGTTCAGGTCAGGTCATCACTGCTTGGTTGGCTCATTGGTTAATTATGCTCCCCACTCCCTTTTATTTTTTTCCTTTTTTTTTTTTTGACTTTCCTTCCAGTATCTGCATTCTTGCTTTTAAGAGAGGAACTATTTCTCCATACCCACTGCTCCATCAAGTGTGATAAAACAAAACAGTCCAAGAGGCTCTGCCTTTGAAAAAAAAAAAATCCGAGAGAACGTATCTGTGGAAGAGAAGATATTCCTACCTTTCATTGCAAAGTATGCCTGTGTCCCTCATCAGGCATCTTCACTCTTGTCACCTGCCTACCTGGCCTCTACAGGCAAACATTAACCCTGGGGCATATAACCTGCCAGGGTTGCTTGTTATACGCAGATTCGATCCCGTGACCAACTTTTTCCCAGACTCCAAGGCGAGATGCTTAAGGATTTTGAGAAACACTACTCTCAGAAAATAGTTTTTGGAGCACCTGTGTGGCTCAGTCGTGTAAGCAGCGGACCCTCAATTTTGGCTCAGGTCATGATCTCAGGGTCGTGAGATCCAGCTCTGCCATGGGCTCTGTGCTGGGTATGGAGCCTGTTTAAGATTCTTTCTCTCCCTCCCTCTGCCTCTTCCTTCCCCCCACCCCCCGCCCTCTCCTCTCAAAAAAAGAAAAGAAATGGTTTTATGTTGCCTTTTAGAAATTACTTGTTTATAGCTGCTCCCTTAACTTCCTTTCGCTATATACACTGCAACCCCATTATTCAGCCAGTGAGATTCGCAGGTGTCTACTAGGTACCTGGCATCATACAGGGGAGAGAGGGCAATTCAACTTTGCAGAGTCTCACGGGCGAGGGATCATGGAGGACTGGCAGAGAGAATGCCGATCGATCGCGTCATACTCTGTGCATTTCCACTCTGACATCTTATTTCCATCCCACAGATAAAGCAGATCTTACTATACCACTTTCAAGCGTACATATCTTATAGTTTTATATTTCTCAGCCTTTCCTGGGCCAATCTCATTTAGCCCCCTTGCAAATTAAATGCATCTCATTAAAGCAAACCCATTTAGGACAATGCCCTTCAGGTGTGTGCATCTTTGTACATCTTTCATTTTAAGACAAGTGTTTGATTTATTTTTCATCTCATTACACTCTTTAAAATTATGTGCATCTCATTACACTCAGCGCGGTGAGACGACTTATTTCAGGTGTAGACATTACACCCAGTATTATCAGGCAAGAATATTTTT